CCCGGCGGGGCGCGCCTGCCCGCGGGGCGCCCGCCTGCAGCCCCCCGCGTGGCGGAGGAGCAGAAGAGCTCCGTGAGTTTCAGAAGCCGCTCCGCGCTGCCACCACCCGGGGAAAGGGTACGTGGGAGAGGCAAGGGACTTCTGCGCGGGTTTTGCAATTCCTGGGAGCCCCTTGGGGCCCTTTTCTGAAGTCCGCGTTTGGCATCCTGCAGGGAACTTCAAAAACTACGTATATTCGCAACTAAAATGCAACTCGGAGTGACGAAGTGAGTTTCGGCTGCTTTTTCTTTCTTTTAAAAAATGTTCTTCTGTGGGTCACTCGCCCAGCTCCTCTCATGTTAACTGCAACAGATAGGGGAGGCCGCCCCCAAACATTTACCTCTGGGCGCAGCTGGTTGGAGCTGGGCCTTGAGTTCCGCCGGAAACACGGACTGAAACCTCAGACGTTGACTGTCCGCACTCCAGGCTCTCACCCAAGCAGAGAGGATGCAGTTGCTGTTACAGGACACTTGGTCACAGCATCCCTGCCCTTAGGTGTAGCACCCCTCAAAAAACGCAGTTCTAACGAGGAACGAGAGTCCTGACGCTCTTCGATTAGCTGTGCCTTTGAAGTTCAATATTCCCAGGTTTTGTCAGTAAGAAAATGGTTGCCGGTTTTTGGCATCCAGTTTTATTCCTCCCAGGTCTACTGGAGATGGTTCTCATGAAAGGATAAATTCTGATGTTTTAAAAGAATAAGGTAAAAAATACCATACAATTAATGGGAAAAGGGCAAAATGCGGGGTCTGAAATAATCTCCTGAAGAACATGTATACATTTTGTAGTAATTTTGAAATAAGTATAAGAAAGGAAACAATACATTAAAGGGTAAAAGGTCACTGAGAATTTATTTCACGGGGAAAAGGAATTCAAGTACAATAAGTGTGACTGACTGGAAGAGTTCATCTGTACTGTTATTCATATTTCATACATGTTTAATATTAAATGGATTTCAGATAAAATATTGAATAAATCTGTCATCTATGCATGGCCCTTGTATCCACCTCACACTCACATCTATACTAATACTTGAGGGCATGAGACGGCAGTATTGCAGACACTGTGTAAGCACATACCACATTTTTAAAAAGAAGTTGTCTAGAAGACACTAATGAGTGGTCACATATACATGTAGTAATCAGGAAGTAATCATGCCAGACATTGTGAAACTATAAACAGATTAAAATATGCTTCACTGCTCTTACTGGAATAAGGTTAAATAGCAAACATGAACCAAATACAATGCTGTATGGTGAAGTTATAATAAAATGTTAGACAATTGTTTTGCAAAGTTTTAATCACAATTGGTTAGTAAAAAGTAATACAGGTAATACTACTGTTCCCGAAAGGTTTTCTATAGATCACATTTTTGTAAGCTAACAAATTTTCTTTCTTTTTTTTTTTTGAGCTGGAGTCTCACTCTGTCACCCAGACTGGAGTGCAGTGGCCGCTCCCAGCCACTGCAGCCTCGACCTGCTGGGCTCAGGCGATCCTTCCGCCTCAGCCTTCCAAGTAGCCGGAATTACAGGCATGCACTACCATGTCCAGCTGATTTTTTTTTTTTATTTATTTATTGTAGAGATGAGATCTCGCCAAGTTGCCCAGGCGGGTCTCGAACTCGTGGGCTCAGGCAATCCACTCACCTCAGCCTCCCAAAGCACAGGATTACAGACTGAGCCACCGAGCCCGGCTGGCTAACAAATTTTCTAATGGTGAATTATGTTAGAATCACGTACTCTTTTTTTCAGTCATTCAGTGCTAATAAAATAGCATTTTAAAATATAGTAAATTGGAACAATCATTCTAGAAAACAATATGGTATTAATCAGTAACACTGAACAGGCACAGTTTCTATGACTCAGCAATTTCACCTGAGGAATGCACTTGGAAGAAACTTTTGCATGAGTAGCAAAAGCCACATATGAGAATGTTCACAGCAACAATGAAATTCACAGTTTACTGTGACACTCAAATAGCCATTGGAAACTTTAAGAAGAAAATAGCATTTAATTTCTAAAATGATAACCTACAACATGCAATTCAGAACAGTCGTTACCTCTGGAAGTAGGAAAGGAATTGAGACTAGGAAAAGATATGTAGAGTTCTTCAGTGTTATTTTTTATTTTATTTTATTTTTTTGAGTTGGAGTCTCACTCTGTCGCCCAGATTGGAGTGCAGTGGTACGCGCCCAGCCACTCAGCCTCAACCTGCTGGGCTTCAGTGATCCTTCCGCCTCAACCTTCCCAGTAGCCAGAACTACAGGCATGAACTACCACACCCAGCTAATTTTTGATTTATTGTAGAGACGAGGTCTCGCCAAGTTGCCCGGGTGGGTCTCGAACCCACGGGCTCAGGCAATCCACTTGCCTCGGCCTCCCAAAATGTTGGGATTACAAGCTGAGCCACCGTCTTCAGTGTTATTGATAGTTTCTTTAAGCAGGGCAGTAGGTATACAGATGCTTTTTGTACCGATATGTATGTGTATAAAGTCTCTGCTAACAAATGTAGTATTTTATATCAATGCATTAAATGTCAATA